TTTGCGCTATCCCCCTCGGTTTAGCCCTGACCTCAATTACACCCTCCCGGACCGGGGGTATATTATACTGTAACAGTTAGAATAAGAACCCCCCAAAAAAATAGTATAGGTAATCGCTTCAACCCTAAACCCTACACCCTAAAGCGTGGCTTTACGAAGGCCCCCCCAAGATTGGGACACTTTCCGAGTGCTCCTGGCGTGACACGCGCTTGCCGCCGAAGACGTTCCAGGCTAGAGGATCCTTGCTTCTTTCGGGTAATTCGGGGAAGGAGGGTTTGTAAGGCAATTAGGGTAATTAGGGTAATTAGGGGAATTAGGGTTTAGGGCAATTAGGGTAATTAGGGTTTTGGGTAATTGGGGCAATTAGGGTTTGGGTTTATATAGGGCAATTAGGGGAATTGGGGTAATTAGGGTAATTCGGGTAATGAGGGTTTAGGGTAATTAAGGTAACTAGGGTTTGGGGTAATTAGGGTAATTAGGTTTTGGGTAATTAGGGCCATTTGGGCTTAGGAGTCAGGGCCTGGGTTTAGGGATCAGGGATTAGGGATTAGGGTTTAGGGTTACGGGTACCATCAAAAAAGGTTGCTACAGTATAAGAGCTACAGTAAAAGGGTACTGTTACTTCAGGGTTTAGGGTGTAGGGTGCTATGGGTTACGGCTATAACAAGGGTTACCGTAGTAGAAGGGCACTGAACGGGTACTGATAATCATAGGTATCCAGGTCCAACAGGGGGCAGATGGCGGGTCTGGGCATTGATATAGACTTTGTCAGGTAAATTGTAGTGTAGGAAGAATATTGTAAGGATGCCCAAGAAAGGTAGCCCTGATAGTCAGATAACCAATGCAGGGGTCTTGCTTACTCGAAGAAGGCTTTGGGGATGCATTATAATGAGGTTCCACGGGGACTACAAACTATATGCGTACGATTGATAGAGACGTCGGAAAACTTCTTTCAAGGAGGCGAACTATAAGGCGGATATTAAGAGACCTCCATGAAAACACATGTTGAAAATGTAGGGGCCTTAGCAGATAGAAGAAGATGGTAGGGTTCTGGGGGTATATTCTAGTACAATAGAGTATGGGTACTTCTAGTAATTATAAGCGGGTCGTATTACAAGAGGGGAGCCGATAGATATATAGAAAAGGTATGTTTATGTGTGTATATATATAAACCCGGAATGATCCTACACGCCACGGTCATCACTATAGAAGGAACCCCAAATATAACATTGAGATTGGCTCGAACATGCTCACGGCTCTCTGTGTAATTCAGCTTCACAGTGTATAATATATAATTATTGCAAAAGGTGATAGAGTTTTGGGTTTGGGTTTGTGCTGCGGTATTGGGGTCCAGGGTTGTCTTGGCCATCGTGCTTGAGAAAAAACGCTTGTTTGCGCACGCAGGCTTCGGAGCACAGGGTGATTGATTCTCGAAGGCTGTTCACAGCTGCAACCCCAAACTAACACAATCCTGACCTAAACCCTAAACCCTAAACCCTAATCCTAAACCCTAAACCCTAATCCTACACCCTAAAATCTCTGAACTTTAAACCAAGCCCCGAAGTTTACTTCTGGCCCCCAATCCTTGGACCTGGACCTTCAACTGTCACTCACACACTCTGCCTTACATTTGCCACCTGTATTGGTAGTTCTCCTAAATTTTTCAAAACTACCCATATAGGGGCCTGAATAGTCTTTTGGGGTATAGGGTTTACGGTTTAAGATTTTGGGGGGTATACTGTAGCTGAGTCTTCGATCAAGAACCACAAGGAAAACTATGGACAACTACTCACACTTATTAGATAATCCTGGCTTACGTTCGCGCACTTGCCCGGAACCAGTTGGGAACGTCGCCCCATCATTCTAAAATCGATGCCAAGCTTCATATCCGTTGATGAATGAATTCCACGGCTTCTCGCCTGAGGGCATGCAGAACGTAATATACGGGCCTTTTTATGGTTGGAACACGGTCTTTTCGAGGGGGAGGATTGTACAAATAGGGGAAGTATAAGGGGATAGTAATCCCTGGGGCTCCAGTTAATTCGCCTCGGCCATCGACCGAAGCGGTCAGAGGTTCCTATTCGGACTTCCTCTATTCCCCACCTCTTAGTCCCCTCCCCAGTGACCCCCACCCCTGAAAAGGGTCATCCTGGGGGCGGCCCCCCTGGCCCCTCCCACCCCAGCCTAGCTTCCGCTTTTGCTCGGCTGTTTGTGCTTGTATATATATATATATATTAATATATTATAGAATTATATAGATATAGCCATATAGCCCAGTAACGCACTTTTTTAGGTAACTGGAGCCCAAGGGAATTATAATAAAACTTCCCACCTGCATATCAGAGAACACAATTTGACTGCGAGCCGAGCAACAGACCGAGATTATCAGCAACTGGACGCAAAGCAGCCGGCGTGCTACGAGGACAGTGGTTTAGGGTTTAGGGTTGAGGGTTTGACCCTCTGTGCTTGAAGCATCTAGGCCCAGACTCATACAAGAATTCTCAAAGAAAAAACAAACAAACCGTGTTTGCAGTGCTACGGAGCCAGTCTACAAAATAGCCCCAAACCTATTCTGATTATTAAGGCTTCTAAACCCTCCAAACCCCTACAGCCCCTACAATACCAAAACAGAAACCCCTTGCAAGCCCACTCTGATTACGAAGGCCCCGATATTTCAGAGGGCCGAGGCTGTTCTTTCCCCTGGGCCGCGGACGCGCGAGCAGCAACTCCACGCCGCCAGGTCTCTTGCGATACCTCAGAGAGGGGCAGGTAGGGTTCAGGGTGTAGGGCATTGTCTTGAAATCCCGAAACCATGAGAGAGCTGCAGCGCAGGAACGCCAAGGGCAAACCTTCACCATACTGCAGCTTAAACTCAACTCCTGAGTTTCTCAACGAACCCTACATGTAGGAATTCGCGAGAGCCCTCGTGACATGCTTCGGAGGAGAACCAACACTAATGTGGGGGCCTCAATAATTAGGGTTTTGGGGTATATTATACTATACACATGCGGAACCCCAAAAATAATGTAGGTACATATTAAGGCCTCTATACTAAACCCTGAACCCAGATTCCTGCGGCCCAGGTTGCGGCACGAGGCCTGCAGCCGAGTAGTGCTCTGCATCGAGCGGCCGGAGAATTTTGTCTACGTACCTCGAAGCCGATTGGCGCTTAGAGTTTTGATGGTTTAAGGGTTTAGGGATTTCGGGACGAAACTTTCCAGAGCTGTCGGGGGGTTCTCGCGCTTCTACGACCATCTTGTCAGTGGAGGTCACCCAGCAGTTGCCGCATCTTGTGAGCGCGCTGCACACTCTGAAGAAAAACCCTAAAGTTTCCGCAACAACAAGAACTCCCAAGTACCCTTTAATAAAGCCCTTGTGGTCCTTCATAGTGGATACTTAAGGTTCCACAAAGGGTAGTTGGGGTCTGCTGGAAAGGTCTGAAGTTCGGGGGTTTGCCATCTGATCCGCGAAGCTTCTGTGAAGGATTGGGGCATGCAGTCAACAGGTCCTGGAGCCCCCCCTAAATCCGAAACCCGTATATAGAGACCTTCAGAATTAGAAGAGGGTTCTGGGGTATATTATATTACAGTTATAACAAGAAGCCTCCAAAAAAAAAAGGTGATGATTAAAGCCGCTATACTAAACCTTCCGGTTCGGTAGTTCGGGATGCACTGCAAGTGCCTAGCTGGACTGAGATGCTCCACTTGCATACAGAATCCTGACCCCCCAGAGTGTTGGGCACGCATCGGATGACAGGCCGCCTGGAAGCCGGGGGACTTGATGGATGCTGTTGAAGCTTGATTGCTGCCACGATCACTGCCGCAAATGGCTACTCTCACTGTCCATCGCACCTCCCTATCGCTGTCTCTTTCCCTCCCTCTGGCTCAGGTACTCTTACGCTGCTCCAGGACGCCCTGAAGCGCAGAAGAAAGGAGTGGAAGCCTGCCTGGTTGCATGCTGTACATGCCGACGGTGCCCATGCCACCCATACCGCCGCCCATGCAGCCCATGCCTGGGATCACCCCCCGTCCCCCCCTCCCGGCTAAGGGAGCACTTCGTCGGAGCTCCTAGTCCTTTGTTATAGCCATGGCCCTGTCGACTTACGTAAGTCCATCCGGTTGGGTTTGACTCTACGGAAGTCGTGACTTTGAGGGACTTGGCCACACCGTCAAGATTGTTATGAACACCTGCGATACTTCAGGGGCAGTGCCTGGATGGTGCTGGCGTTTAGTCTTCAGGCTGAGCGCGAAGCCCAGATCAAGAACTGGATGCCATGTGATTAAAGAGAACATGCTGAACACTACAGTACCCCATCGAGTAGCCCGTATATAACTCTCGTGGTAACCCTTACAGTGCATCTTGTAGTAAGGCAAAAACTCGCTGGAAGCAGGGTGAGACATTCAATTCCCGTTTTGCAGCTGCGACGCCGCCGACATTGGGCATCGGAGGCATGCCTCCGCAAACAAGTATGCGCTCTTCTGGTCTTGGGCGAAAGATCAAGATTTAAGGCTTTAGCTCAGACTCCCTAGGCCGTCCAAAGGGAAGCTTTTTGAGATTACATGTATGTTCCGATGAAAATATGTAGGGGTGTGTGCACGTGCGACATGGAATGCAGCGCGATGCAATCAAAAAGCTGCACCTCTCGTCCATGCAGTTTGGCGTAATGATTCGACATGTAACAGAAGAAAACACGCATTGCAGGTGACTTGTCGCGTACATGCATCCATCCATGCTCGTCTGTATGTACCTGTGTATGTATGTGTGTAAGTATGTGTGTATGTGTGTGTATGTGTGTATGTATGTATGTATGTATGTATGTATGTATGTAGGTAGGTAGGTAGGTAGGTAGGTAGGTAGGTAGGTAGGTAGGTAGGTATGTATGTGTGTGTGTATGTGTGTATGTATGTACGTATGTATGTATGTGCGCATGTGCGCATGTATGCATGTATGTATGTATGTATGTATGTATGTATGCAGCAACAATGTAGCATGCATGTATGTATATGTTCGCATGTTTGTGTGTATGTGTTCATGCATACATATCAATGTATGATTATGCATGTATGCATTCATGTCTGTCTGTAAGTATACGTATATATATATATACACATATACACACACACATTTCTATCTATACATATATATATATATACATACCGAGATGTATAGGATTGACAGACAGACAGACAGACAGACAGACAGACAGACAGACAGACCGACGGACGGACGGACGGACAGACAGACAGACAGACAGACAGACAGACCGATGACAGATGTATGATCACAAAGCCGTACACATGTACAGTTCTGCGAATATGCTATAAACCAACACAAATATACAGCCATATAGTTATGGTTGTAAACAGATGTGCAGATATGCATGTGTACATGTGTATATATATATATATAGAGGTATGCGCACACACAAAATTACATATATATATATACACACATTAGATGGGTATCTTGATTCACAGCAAGGTAGACAGGTACATATTTAGATGGATAGATAGATAGATCGGTAGATAGATAGATAGATAGATAGATAGAGACTTAGGTAGGTCGGTATATACCGAGATATACCTACAGATGATGCCGACACAGACACAGATACATATATGAATAGATATCAAGCCCAAATGGCCATATGCAGATGGCCTAAGTTAAGCCGAAGCAGATCAAGACGGATTCACCTCTGTAGATCCGAAAGACTCTGCCTACACCCGATAAACCCTGCACTAAACCCCAAACGCGAGGCCCCGATGCCTCAAGCCCCTGTGCCCCTGTAACCACTAAACCCTGAGGCCTTTGAATGGCCTAGGAAAGTTTCCTTTAAGGCTCAAAACAGCCCAAAAGCCTTATATAGTATGGTCTTTGGGCCCAAAAAAGCCGTAAAACATGGGGGTTTCCGAAAATAGGGGACCCTAATGTAGTATCCTAAATAGTAGGACCCTTATTATAAAGGGCCCCATAATAAGGTACCCCTTGTTTTCGGAAGCTCCCATATGAGTCCTTAGAGCCTTAGGGCTCCTCTCGTCCGCCTCCAAGGCCCGGGACCATGCCGCCGACGGAAATCATCGCAGGGCCCGGCGCCTTGCTCTTGCTTTGAGGCGCATGCCAGGTCTTACTTGGGTGTAAGTAGGGTTATGGTTTGGGGTTTAGGGTTTAGGGTTTGGGGTTTAGGGTTTAGGGGGGTTTATGGTTTGGGGTTTAGGGTTTAGGGTTTGGGGTTTGGGGTTTAGGGTTTAGGGTTTAGGGTGTACGGTTTGG